ATCCTTCTCGAGTGCTCCGAGGATGCACCAATCCCCCTGGCCTTCCTTGGTTGGACTGACCGCTGGTGGTACTACCGGTCTCGGTGGAGGAATCCAGTCATTCCTCGTCGCTCGATACGTGCGACGGCGCCACGGAGCCCGTCGAGGAATCGTCAGCTTTTCCTAAACACAGATTACGGCGCTGAGGAATGAAACGAGTGGCGGGGGTATACGCCTAGTATACACTAAACGTCGGACGAATAGATCTTTGGGGGTAGGTTAAAATAGACTGCCTGTCTTTGTCAATCGAGTTCGGCACTCACTCTCTTTTAGTAAATAAGTGGAACCATGTGAAATTAACCCAGTGAGTCAAGCCAAATTCACCACATCATTGAATATCTGCGAGATCTGCCCGTGCTTCCCGGCTCTACAACTGCCGCCTCCATGCCAGCTTTGCAATGTGGCCAACACCGCTTCATTATGTTTGGTTTTGGCTGAGTAACATGCTTTTTCCGTTTTGGGAGGGCTCGCTTTGGAGAGTTGGGGAATGTGACATCCATACCCGCATGGCCATGGGTAGAGCTTTCATTATGGATGGTTCTAACACATTTCGACTAGAACCAGCATTTTGAGTCTTCTGCGTAAAGTCAGCAGATTTGTCTAATAACCTTATGCTAACATTTAAAAATATTAGATCCAATTTATCTAATTTGAGGTAGGAGAGATCCTGGAAAGAGAAGCCGCTTCACCACGGTGGCACTCAGCGAGTACGAGTAAGCTACATACATTATTACGTCTGAGACAAACTAATCTGTACTTATTCAAGCCAGCATTCTGGTCGACAATGGACTTTGATCCGATTCCGCCAACTTTAACAAAAATATCGCTCCAACCCGGCCTGCGACCCGATGTGCACATTCGGTTTTCTATACGTTGCCACTATTGTGGCGAGTATCTTTGTTGCAAGTGGCCCGCCTTGGTGTTGTACGTGTGTACATGTAGTAGAAGTGCTTGTGTTGCATTCCCCTACTCACTCATTCAACAAGTCCCTGCGGTACCGCTCAACAAGATGGCTACCATTTGTGCGCCCCGTTTGCTGAAAGGTCGTCAAAATGCGCTACGATTGGATAAAATCCGAAGAGACGATGTACGGATTGGTAGAAAATGCGTCGGAGGGAGTTCAAACGACCTGCAGACGAAAGCACACAACCGCAGTAGACCTGTCCTTTCTGTCGATACATGTACATTGCTGGAGGTGAAGCTGTAGAACAAGTAGAGCACCACAATCAAAGACGAGCGACATCGACTCGCTACGTGTCTGTGTGTGTGTGTGTGTGTGTGGTCTCGTTGATAGTCAACTTTCAAGTTGCTGATCGTAGATCGTGGCTTGTGACGCTAACGTTGGCAGCGTCTCCTCTTTCGCAGTAGATCCTCTAACCAGCAGAGAAAGCTGAAGCCTTTAATGACTCCATCTAACAGTGTGACGCTGCCATGGCCCATCCAAAACAGATTTCTCTTAGAACCAGCGATCAACTTCAACGCCAGTGGCTTCAGCATCACTGGCTTTTAAGACATCGTGGATAGAAGTACAACAAGCACCGTTGGCTCCCTGTTGCCGCCCAGCTATATCACCTCCGCTAGATTTCCTCCTGGCAGCCTGCACTTCTCCAAAGCTAGCGCCGCCACGTGTTTAGCGCTCCACCACGTGAGCTCTGCAGCATTTTCATTCGCGCTCACGCGTTCACTTGATCTTTTGGCGCTGAGATTCTTTGAGCTGGTGCTGCCGCCGGCCACGCGGCAGCAGCCACTCGACCAGCGCAATGTAGACCAACGCCAACAGCAGCACAGCGGCGGCCAACACGGGCAGCCCGCCCAGATGCTCGATCGTCTCGGTGAAGGTGACGCCCGTATCATCTCCGCCCTGCTGTGCGGCCACCACCGCTGCTAGTGTCTGCACGAACGCCAGCGTCGCGATCCCCATCTCGGCGGCGATCCTTCGACGTTGAAACTTGCCCCTGTTAAACCCGGCAATCGCATTTGACAGGGGAACGTTTTGAGGCTGCCTCCCCTGACCCTCACCCTTCCCTACCTTTTCTCCTCCAATCAATTCTCTCCTTTTGTGCCGCAATGATTGTATCGATTTGACTGTCTGTTTGTATGCTGCGCGAACACTGCGTGTCGATACAGCGATTGGGGGCTTTTTCTCCCTTTTCATTTGAATAACGCACGGCCCAAGCTCGAAGCGCGCGCGGCAATTCAACTCCAGCGGCAACTTGCAGAAGACGCAGCCCGGCGGAACACTGCACCACTGTGGACCTTGCACACGCCCACGCAAAAGCGAACAGCAGCAGCTTTCCAGGTACGGCACAGATGATCGTTAGCAGCAGACAACTTGCTGCAGTGTTGCCACGTGGGATTGCCAGCTGGGACGAGCTTTTTTTT